GGAATTTGCCCAGGGACAAATTTTCCCTCACTGTTCATGGTGGGGACAAACCAGGGCAAATCTTAGATGTTTTTCCACAATCCTTAAAATTAGGAAATACTAGGACTAGAAGGCATCTAAAGGTACCTTCTAGTACTAGAGGGTACTAGATCTTACAGCATCAATTGACAGAAGGTACCTTTAGATCTAGTACCCTCTAGTACTAGAAGGTACCTGGCTTAACATTTAATCTAACTGTATCATTTTACAGTTAAGGCAACTGAGTCCCAGAGAGCGCAAGCAACTTACCTAAGGTCACACAGCCAGCTGGTTACAGAGCCAAGGTTGATGGATTCAGTGCTCTTTTCTTGATGCTGGGTTGTGTTTGTACCTGGTGGCCTGAGCGTCCTGGGTCTCCTTGGTGCACTGCCAGGCCAGTCAGCAGGTACTGTCAGGTCACTAAGTCATCACTTAAGCATAGGCTAGAGGATGCAAAGGATGAAACTCCATTAAAAAGCAATGAACTTATTTTATATCTGCTTGCTGTTAAAAATCCAAACAGTGTAGAAGTGTGTCCGGGAACACTTGAAAGCACCTCCCTCCCTCTCAGCCCTCCCCATTCCACTCCCCAGGGGTAGCCACTTAACAGTGCTGTCTCCAATGGCTCCTTAATTTTCCTGCCAGCCGTTGGGTTGTGTAGGACCCATGCCACAGCAAGGCTATTTTTAACAAGCATCCCAGGCTTCAGGGGGTTGAGGAGAGGGGAAGAAAAAAATATTCCATTTGTATATTTTTAATCTGTGCACATTTGAGCAGGCAGTGGCTTTGCTGTCCCTCCTGCCAAGGGTTGTGGGCAATTGATTAGGCTCTCTAGGTGCAGGGTAATCCTTTCTCTTCCCCTAACAAGGCTAGAAGGCCAGGGAGGAGTTCGAGGATGTTTCCGGGGACGATGGCCGTCTCAGCTGGCTGCCTCCTGATCCTGCCTGCCCCCAGCCCTCTCCCTCCTGGCAGCCTCGAAAATCCTGGCTGGGTCTCTGTTGCAGAGAAGGCCTGGGAACCTGACTCTTTGTGCCAAGCTCATATTTAGAAATGTCTCCAGCCAGACGTTGGCCTGGGTCCCACTTGGGTTCTGGGCAGGGGGTGCAGTCACATGTGCTGCCTTTGAGTGGGCAGCTTCTGAGTGGGCAGCAGCCCACTTTGAATATAAACACAATCCCTTTATGCAGACCAGCTGGCATGGGAGCCTGTGCTCCTGGGCACTGGAGGGGGCAAGCTCTGGTAGACGGGTGGACAGTAGGGAGAGGGAAAAAAAGATGTCACAAGGCTTAGACTGGGAAAAATGGTGGTAGGGGGGCACCCAGCTCCCTGATCCCATCAGCCCCTATCCATTTTCTCCACCTCTTTCCTGAGTCCCCAGGGCACTGTTCCTGCCTGAATAGGGGGCCTGCAGCCCCTCAATGGCCCTGATCGACCCTTCTTTTCCTTCCCACCTCATGTGTTCCCCAGTCTGTGGGACAAGAGTGAGGCCTCGGAGGGAGGACCCCATGGCAGGGTCTTGCTCCATCTCTCCCTCAGCATCTCCGGATCACACTTGTAAAATGTGGCCCTGGGTGTCACCATCTCTGAGGGCTTGTTCAGCATTGACAGTGAACCATTCCACAATTTCTTGTTCACCGCGTGCTCTTTTCCATGACAGTGCATGATGATGGTTGAATTAGACCAACTGATCCCAGCTTTAAATAGTAGGCCCCTAAGGTAACACGCGTCATGCTGCAGCCCTGTGAAAACTCTCCTTTCTTTTACACCAGTTCTTTTAAGGAGAGTCATTCACTCATGCCTCAGATATTTAATGAGCACCTACCAAGGGCAGGCCCTGTGCTGTCACCAGTCCTACAGTGGCGAATAAGACCATCTCACTGATGGGTGACGGGGTGGGAGCCTGTCTGCTCTCCTCACATCACACCTCTGCAGGTCTTCCCTGGGGACTGAAGTGGCTTGCTCACTCAAATCAGCTCTCTGGAGAGGAGGCTGCTTTCCTGCAGCTAAATCTTCAGAGAAAATCCAAATGCAGCCACAGGACTTGCCTCCTACAGCCTGAGACTGAGCCAGGCTGCGTCCTCGGGCCCCTGGCAGCTCCACTCCTCCCTGTCCTATTCTTCCTTCCTCTGCCCACATCTCTGGGGGAAAAGAGCTCCAAGAAGTGGTCAAGAAGGCTGAACAGATATCTTCTTTGTATCTCCCAGGAACAACATGATAGATACAAAATCACAGAATGGCTGGCTGGCTGAGTAAATAAACAAGTGAGCAAATGAATGAAGGAACAAACGGAAACTCAGTTCCTGCTCCAAAGGCACCGCAAATTCAGATGAAAAGAAATGGCTTGTAGAATGGTGGCACTGTAGGACTGAAGGGGGCCCTTGGGAATAGACTCACCTTCTTTTATGGGAAAGGAACTGCAGGCTCAGAGGAGGGGGGCTGCCGTAATGCCTGCGACAGAGCGCAGAGGTCAGAGGATGGTGAGATCACCAGGGTGGTGAGATCCAGAAGCGAGTGCAAGGGTTTCCTAAGTGTCCCTCGTCCTTGGGAAAAATTGCCTTTTCATATGGTTGGGAGTGGATGGTGCAATTTTTCTTCGAGGGTTAATTGTTTTGCTGACAGCACAGATAATTAGGAATGAGAATCCCGGAGTGAGGGTGACAGCACCATCTGCTGTGAATATGTTTCAACCCCACCTTGCAGGAGAGCTTGGAAGTGCACCTATCCTCACCCTCCCCACCCCAACAGAAATGAATGTGCTGTAGCCGTTTGCTTCTGGGGCCACAGCTGCCAGATGACCTGCAGCCAGTGGGGGTGGGATGGTAACCGGCCTCTTAAGGGTGTCGTTTCCTCTCCTTCCTCCATGGCATCTACTGCATGTAGCAGGGCTCACTGAAAGCCCCAAGGCTGAATGAGTGTGCATGGACAGCCTGGGGCAAAAAATGATGATGCCAAGGGGGCAGATTTCCTGATCCTCCCTGAGCCTGAAGTCTAGTCCTCTGTTGACCAGAGGTGCGCACGTGGGGCCGCACTGAGCTACATGCCTGCCATTATGATTCGGAGTGATTTTCCTGCCAGATTCTATGGATTCGCCGCCTACCCTGGGTTTCCTGGCCTTTGGCCTATGCTACTTGTTCCAGAAGGAGGTTGGCCCCGCCTTTCCTTGCTAGGTAGGAATGTCCTAGGTTGTGAGTTTCTCTATCTCAAGAAAAGAACTGCTTTGGAATCAAGCAGACAATCCCATTGTCCAGGAGCAGCTGAGATCTTTCGTCAGACGGGCAGACTTTTATGTTTCTTTTGCATTTGTATTACTTAAGAATATATTCCATACATAAAGAGTATATGAAATGTATATGTGCCTTTTGAAGATAATAATAATCGTTTTTCTCTTTCAAAGGGGCTTCTAACCTCTGTTGCTTTGCACAGAAGTGACTTGGAGCCTGAGCTGTAGAAGGCCAAGTTGCTGGGAGGCTCAAGGTCAGCCTAGCCTCTCCCAAAGCAGTGGCTGTTTATTGCGGCCAATTTCCTGGTGCCTGAGCTGCTCCTGTTAACTAGAAGGCTCCGTATTCTTGTTTTTCTTACTAATCACTCTGCTATCTCTGTGCTTTCTCCTCTTAGACTCTCCTATCAGGGAAGAAACCAAAAGCATGATTGTTCTCCTCTTCTCCCCATTCCTCATAGCAGGGCCAGCCAGCCAGTGTCCCCCTCCTCCTTCCCATTCCCACTCATCCCCCACCCGCCAGGTGACTTGGAAGGAAGATGAAATGAACCCAGGACCAACGAGCTTGCTGGAAAGAATGATAATTGGCTGTTTCACTTACTTACTGTGTGACCTTTAGCAAGCTTCTCGACTCTCTGTGCATCTGTTACCTCATCTTTCAAACACCCCTTCACAGAACTACTGAGAAACTAAATGGATCCAATGGATGCAAAAGCCACTTGAAGAGTCTATAATTATTATATATGTGTCCCTTCCTTCTTCTGCCACTCTCACTCCTTCCTGTCCCTGGGGTGTCCTCTTGTCTGCAATGCTGGGCGTCCTGGTGGATGTTCTTTGTCTGCCATAGCCTCTTCTCAGCAATGGGTCCACAGAGGCCTAGAGGAGCCCATGGTTGGGGTGGAGCTGAGAGTCACAGCCAGGTGGGCATCCCAGGAGCCCATCCCTTTCACTCCTAAGAGCTGGAGGCTGTGCCTGATCAGAGGTGCAGGGCTGTAGCCAGCTTGGACTTGTCCAGAGATGAGCAGACCTCCAGGCTGGGGCAGGCTGCTTCAGCCAGAAGCACTTTGGCCCCTCCTGACAGAGTGTAAGTCACAATCTTGCCTAGGAAATGTGATGGCCCTGTGGAGCCGGTGTCCCTGTTCCTCATCCCGGCAAGGATTGTGTCTCCACTTCTGTCTGTCACTCTGGGATAAAGAGCTGTGAAAAGATGGTAATCAACACACATAGGTGCAGTATTCTACCTGGAGCCCCCCAGAGTATAGAACACCAGAAGCCTCACTTGGAGGACCTGGGCTAGAAAAGTTGTGGAAGGTTCCACATGGATGTGTCTTTGCACTTCTGTGTACATCTCACAGCTGGAGCGAGAACATTCGCTTCCTTTCTCTTTCCTGGGGTGACGGAAAAGCGTGAGGTTCTGTTGGTCAATCTGGGCTAAACTCTGAACGATGTCTAGGGTTTGGATGCAGGATTAGAAGTGAGTCTTTCAGGCAGATGAAAGGAAATACGCAGAGGAAGGAAAGGAATGAAGGGCGTGTGTGTGCATGTGTGTACGGCGGGTATGTGTGTTGAGGCCTGAGCCTGGGTTGGTGGGCAGGACACTGCCAGTGAAAACCCTGGATGAGATAGAGTTGCTATAGTCATAAGGAACTATAGGCTCTAATAATAAAGAGAAAGAGAAGGATGTCTAGAATTTGCAAGAACAGCTAAAACCTGGACATGTATTTCTGGCCCTGGTAGATGACGGAGGCCTCTGTTCTTCCTGCAGATCCCCTCTGAAGCAGCTGGGAGCTCCCCTCTGAAGCAGCTGGGAGCTCAGAAGCTCTCTCCATCCCTGAGGAGTGGATTAGCCACAAGAGCAAGAAGTGATGGAGTGGAGTCCACCCAGCGCCTGAGGCATGAGCAGAATCCACACCCATTAGACCCAGAGCCTCAGAGTGGGAGGCTGCACTGCTGGGGAGATCTAAGAAGAATCAATACTTTGGCCCCTGGCGACATGTACACGGTGTAATGACAGGTAATGAACCTGAGGCTCGTCTATCCTTTATGAATGATATGGCAGGTAGGAGAATATATCAGCTTGCAGTAAGCATAAAATGTCAACCCGTGGGAAGATAACTATGCAAACAAAGCACACTAAGTCCTGATAAGATGATAGATGGAAGCTTTATAGTTATTAGTTTCTGCCCCATGTGCTTGCTGGAGCCAAGCACCGGAAGATTTAGCATCAGATGGGTTCACTTCCTATGCCTTATGGGAAGGCCTGATGCCTTTATGGATGTAGCATGTCGTATTTGAAGAACTCAGAGTAGCAAATCAAGAAGTCATTATTCCCCATCAGCTTCTGTGGGAAACAGCGTTCATGCCGGTGGAGAAACAGAGGCAGTGAGAAGTAAAGAAGCTCTTTCATTGAGTCCATGATGTGTGAGGGATAGATCTGGAGACCTCAGTGGTTGGGAAGCCTTCAGGTCTGGTTCAGATGTCTCAAATGACAGGTGTGGTGATGGGTGGATGAGTCCTGCTGATAAAAAAAAAAAAAAAAAAGGCTTTGTGTCTTCCATTCTTTCAAGAATGCCTGGGCAAGTAGCAGATGATCCAAGGTGGAAGAGGTAATGAGTAGGGGTCTGGAGAGGACAGCAGGGGCCTGTCAGATTCCTTGGGTCTAGCAGTTGATCCAGGGAAGTCAGGCAAGCCTGGAAGCATCAAGCAAGTGTCTAGGACCTAGAAGGCAGGGCCTGGAGACTAGAAGGACAGGGGCCAGCCATTAAGCTAGAGACCCGTAAAGGTGAGTTCTGATCCAGTGGGAGAGCCTATTCCCATGGATTTTCCACTCTTCACTGTGTGCGTCATACGAGGTACCACCCTGGCAGCTTCCACCGTGGGGAAAATGGTAGGCTGGGTGGAGGCAAAAATAGCTTAGGGCCTTGAGAAACTGACCGGGGCAAGGGGAGAAGGTCCAGTGGTCTGGGGCAGGATGCCCAAGAGGGTGTGGTAAATTCCATTTCAGTGCAGGCCAGTGTCAGGGTCCCCAGGGTCAGAGCCAAGGGATGGGGAGGGGCAGAACATTAGGACTTCTGGGTGGCCTTGTTCTAAATTAGGCAGAAAGAATAAGTTGAAGAAGGAATCTAGAAAGCTGAACCCAGCTCTAGGAAGTGGAAGTGAATCAACCACAGGCACTAGGTGGGCTCAGAACTGGACTCCTGTCTATATAAGGAAATGGAGGAAGAATTGAGCTCCAGGGTCTCTGGCCAGGGATAGTCAGGGAAAGGCTATGCCTGGAGGGGCTGAGCTAGGGAGCTGGTAGCTCCACAGGGGCCTGAGCCTAAATATGACCTGTATGTACTGGCCCTGGGCTATCTCAGACCCCACCTCCATGGGCAGGGCTGGACCTAGGGAGCATCACAGTGGGAGGTGATGGGGGACTGGGTAGGGGCAGAAAATATCCAATCCTGGAGGTAGGTGGGTGAGGACTTTCAAGTTTGTAGTCTTAGGAGGCGGAGGGGCAACATACCTCCTGAAGAAGGCCAGAAAGAGCCAAGGACTGGCTCTGTCAAACGCTCTTCTTTTATGTTACCAAGGTTTACTGAGTACCTGTTGTGCACTGAGCACTGTGCTTGTTGCCAGAAATGCAGAGAATGAGCTGCGGTCTGCTTCCAGAAGAGGGAATGTGGAGCCTGGTCCAGGTCTTTGGAGGCTTCAAGCCTCTATCTTTAAAAACAGACACAATACTATCTCATTCATAGACTAGTGGGGAGAATTAAAGAAAATCAAACATGTAACACACTTAGCACAGCAGCTGGCACCATAATAAGTGATCAATACGTTGAGTTTGTTTCCATGATTCTGCTTTTGGAGAAGCTCACAGTCTGGCGGGGGTGAGAGCCAGGAAGGCTGGGAGAAGCGCCTTTTAACTTCCAGGGATTCTGACTGCTGACAGGGTCGGGGCCCTGGGCTTTGAAAACCGGTTATCAGAATTTCTCTGGCCACAGAAAATGTGGTTTAAGGTGGACCCTACCACTCGGAAATGGCGACTGCATTTAAGTGCTTTGGCAGTTGCTGGGCACACAGGGAGGTTGGAGGCAGGACGGGTGGGTCCAGGAATTTAGAGAAGTGTTGAGAAAAGAGGACATTCTCCGAATGCTTGGAGCGTCTTGACTCCTCGTCTTCCAACTCAGAGGGAGGGATGTGCAGAAGCCAAGGCAAGACTTGTGCCCTGGAGTGGGCGGCCCAATAGCCACTGGGGGCGGGGCTCAGATGCAAGCCGTGTGTGTCATTTTAAATGTTCCAGTAGCAGCATTTAAAAAAGTGAAAATAAGTGAAATTAATTTTAATGATAGATTTCATTTAACTTAGTATGTCCAAATGGTATCATTTTAACATGTAATCAGCATAAGAATTATGAATGAGATATTTTACATTCTTTTCATACAAAGTCTTTGAAGTCTACAGTGTATTTTATACTTAGAGCACCATCTCTGGTTTGGACCAGCCACATTTTAAGTTGGCTAGTGGCAACTGTGTTGGATAGCACAGATCCAGACTCTGGAATATCTTGCCAAGGAGCACCCAGGGGCAGGGCTCTCCTGAGCTAGACAGCAGGATTTACTATTATGTTCCCTTCTTATGAAATGTCTGTAATGAATCTCTGGGGACATTCTCTTGAAGAATAAGAGATGTCTTGAATCACTTGTTCTAGATCAGGCATCCCCAAACTTTTTACACAGGGGACCAGTTCACTGTCCCTCAGACCGCTGAAGGGCCGCCACATACTGTGCTCTTCTCACTGACCACCAATGAAAGAGGTGCCCCTTCCTGAAGTGCGGCGGGGGGGCAGATAAATGGCCTCAGGGGGCTGCATGCGGCCCGCGGGCTGTAGTTTGGGGACGCCTGTTCTAGATGGTGACTTGTGTTCTCTGGAACCAGCTCTGACTGCAGGTCTCAGCAGCTGGGTTCAGGACTCTGCCACTTGCTGGGTCTGGGCCGTTCAGGCAGTTCCTGAAGGTCCCTGAACCTCAGAAGCTTCCCTGAAATGGAACTAGTAAATTCTATCTTACTAGGTAATGATGAGGTCTAAATAAAATAATGAATAATTGCTCTGTGACACTCAATTTCAAGAAATAATTCTTTTATTTTCCTAAATCGAATGAAAACAAATTTGAGTTTTCCTATTGGCTAAGTGTGGCGGAAGGTTTCCTGATTGGTATTTCTGTAGTTCTGTCTCTACTCTTCCTTTGCATGAGAACCGGGGCAGCTTTGCGGGTCAGCAAAAATGGGGCGGGGTGAGGCCTGGGCCTTAGCCCCGGGGGGTGACAGTTACTTCTGGTGCCCCTTTATCCAGGCCTGTGTGGTCAGCTGGAGGAGGCAGGCCCCTGCAGCCAGCCGGCGCGCCATCTATGCCAGCTTGCCACAGGGGAAACTGGAGGGCCCAAGTCCCTATCTCTAGCGGGGGGGCGACGGCACCCAGGCACTGCACTCCAGTGGAGTGAGGGTTGCCAGCCACTCCAGGTCCTAATTCACCCACCTCTCTTGGGATCCAACCCAGGGATCCTTCTCTAAAAGCTCCATGTCCTTCGTGCCTCTCTCTCCTACTTCCCAGCCTCAGTCTTTGAAACAAAGTCCTGTTCCTACCTTACCATGCCCCCTTTCTTTTCCCAGAAAGAAAAATTCAGATAACTTCCCCTTAGGGTAGGGAGCCCAGATCATATTGTCACAAAATATGGCTGTCCTTTCTGGAACTGGAGGGAGTACACATTTTATTATCTTGTGAATGGCTGCTCTGGCCGCTACCCGCAACGACAGCAGAAAGCAGTAATCGCTACATAGAGTCACTGACATGGCGCCCTGACACATGTGGCTGGTACCTGGCCGATGGCCACAAGACCAGATTCCCCTATGTCCAGCCCCATCTGAAGAACGAGTTAAATATTTCCCGCCGTCTGGGATTTTCCTGAGCCTCCTGTGAGATAGTGTGTGTGAAGGTCCTTTGTAAAGTTATTAAATGTTATCGAGACTCTTAGTTCCCTACCTGGGGTTGCTTTCTGGTCTCGGAGCTGAGTTTGAGGCTGCAGATTGGATTTAAAGGTTGCTCCTTCTCTTGGCATCTCAGAGCAGATGATGCTGCCATCGAACTCAACTGGGTGCTTCCACGAGGTGCTTCACCAGGTGCTCTACCCGCCGGGTGCGCACCTCTGAATTAACCCCTTGCCTCCTGTTCTCCTTTGGGAGAGGGGAAGGATCAGGGTGTTAGTGGCAGCAGTAGCATTTCCTGACATCTTCACTTCCTTCAGCCTGTTGTGTGTGTGGGGTCTCTAGCTAGTCCTCCTGAGTTTGGAATCCACCCAGAATTGTGAAAGCTCATAGTCCATCCTTCCTGGGATTGGGAGCAAGCCGTGGATCTAAGTAAGTCCTGTGGCTCCTCCTTGCCTCCCTGCCTTGGGTCTGGTGAGGACTCTGTGATAGGGAATGGGGCCTCCAGGCAAATCCCATGTCCCCTGGCCCGGGCATGGAGGGAGTAGGATCAGGAGGTGCAGGTGGGTGACATGAAGAGTAACTGGGCTTAAGCTGCACTGGAATCAGGGCAAAAGTCTGTTGGACAAATGGAAATTCTCCAGGCCTGGGCACTGAGACAGCATTTTCAAGGCTGGGTCCACATTCGACTGTGTGTGGTTGGGTTAATGGGCCTTTGATGCTTGCCGCAGTGGTATTTGGGTCACTCGTGTTGCTGCCTCTCTAGACTAAAGAGCCCCGCCCCCTTTAGCAGCTGGCTGCTGCTTCCTGCTGGCTCTCCTGGGGCCGAGCTCTCAAGGCTGTCACGAATCGTAAAAGAGTCCTTCAAACCAGTGTCACTGTGACTTAACATCTATTTCAAAAGATGATCTGTGGCACATTTGGGGGACAGTACGGGGGGAGGTGTCACAAACTCAAGCGCATTTGGATAAGGTTATCGACCTGGCTTTTTCTTAGTTTGCTACATGACCCAGTGCAGATCTTTTAAGTTCCCCAGACCTTAATGTTCCC